ATGATTATGGCACAGTACATGTCATTATAAAACAATATAAACAATAGCCAGGATATATTCTTTTAAGTCTAACAAATACACACATCTCTTCAATATTTTATTTATGTGGCAATATCCATTGTCCTTTAACCACTGTGTGCAATTATATGCCTTGGTCAGCGGGGGCGATGGTGGAGATACCAGAAGATACAGCGGCGGATTGAGCGGATTATACAAGTCGGCGCTGGGCAGCAACAATTACAATGACGAGGTCGGACGTGGATATGGGATGTGGATGTGGATGTGGATAAGGTATTGGAATGAGGGTATATAGGGATATGACTCTGTCTCTGACTTTGACTGGGGGCTGTGACCATGGCGGGGGCCTGGGAGGACAATGTCCCATGTCCTCCACTTTGCTGGCGAATTGCATCTGCAGATGAGTCGTGTTTGGCCGCTGCCGTTGCAATTTCATTTTATGCCACCGCAGGCAAGAAGGGACTCCAAAAACTTGCTTCTTTTTGCGGGCGTGCAAAATGATTGCAGTCCTGTAGTCGTGTTTTTCCTTTCCCCCCCACCTCATCTCTATGTATATATATATATATATATATGAGAGTGACAGAGATCGCTCGAAGTAACCGCCACACGCCCCACACGACCCACGCCCCATTCTGCGCAGAGTCCGCCCCTGGCCGGGCTTTCCACCTCATTATAACCTGACTCCACTCTGCTAATTCATGGCGAAATATGCTAATTAATAGCCGGCAAAAGGGCACATGAGTCGAACGCAAAAAGCAAAAAGCAAGAAAAATATATAGGCAGAGACTGAAACCGGGCGGGGGGAACTAGAAATCCGGCAAGTGGTTAACCAAGATGATCAACTACCTAAGATTCTGTCTCTTGTCTCTCCAGCTAACAAACAAATTAAGATTATGAATCATAAGAAGTAACTTCCGATTCAATATCGCATAGACATCTTTCTCATATATAATCTCATCAATATATCTTAACTACTTTAAAGTATCTTCTGAATCCAACCCTGAACCCTCAAATAGCCTGAGGAATTGCAATTGCTATAAAAGTTCCAGTTGGTTGTAACAAGTCACGGATACTCTAAAGCCGGGACAATCAACAAATTCATTTGCACTTTCAGTTAACACATTGGCGAGAAATCTCTTGGCCATTGCACAATATATACCAGGAGACAAATATTCACTCTGGTCTTGGCCATTTTTTTAACACTATTTGCCTTGCGGTTTGGCACTGGTTGTGTCTGGGTTGCAGATCGTAGCACTTCTTTTTATATAACACTGTTCAAATTTATCGGAGAGTTAAAATCAATAAATAATAAATAGGTTAGAGTTCAAATTTGATTCTGTAAACCTACAGATAGCTTACAGTCAAATGAAAATTCACCATGTTATTAATTATGCTTTAGATAAATTGTTTAGGGTATTATAATTTTAGAAAAAAAAGCTTATAACGCAGTGAAAAAGTCATTTCCGACCCCATAAATCATATATATTCTTGATCAGCATCAACAGGCAATTCTTTCTAGCTTTCTCCAGCAGAAAAAAAAATTTTAATTTTTTTCAAAATTTTATAAGGGGTTAAAAATTATGAAAAAAAAATTGTAAAAAAATTTAATATCTTTAAATTTTAAATAGAGTTAGCAGACTTATTAACATTATAAAAACTAACATAGGAAAGCTTTCCGAATTAAATTTAATGTTTTTTTGGCTGAGTTATGAGTTTTTTTAACTTTGATTAGTCTAACAAAATTGTCATATAAAAAAATAATAAAAATCGATTCAACGAATCGAATATGCGAATATTTTAAGCTTAGTTATGATCGATTTCCGATTATAAGTAGCAGTTTATTAATCCTTTATTGATAAGCAGTTCTCTGTTTTTATTTATCGTTTAGATAAATCAGATAAATTGTTAAGGGAAAAACAAGGACCTATACTTCAGGACACGACTTTTTTTTTACTCTGTGATAAACCAGATATTATTCAGATATTTTTTAAGTATCTTTCAGATAAATTACAAGAAAAAAACTAAGTTTATCTAGTGTTTAACAGGGACCTGGACTTCTTGACAAGATTTTCTTACTTCAATAAAATCATAGTTATTTCAAAGAGCCAACTAAAAAAGAAAATGAATATTTAAAGGAGTTTAAATACTTTTTTTGGAGAGTATAACAGTTGTTAACAGCAGCGCTTTAAAGTACAATTTGTTGCTATTACTTATGGTTCAGATACATTCTCCTTAAGGAGCACTTGGTTTATATTTATCCTTTAGATAAATTCCTATAAAAAAGATCTGTTAATATTTATCTTTCAGATAAATTACAGGCGCCAAGTGAAACCCTACTTTACCTGGTATTTATCTTTCCTCGCTCAGATAACTATCTGGACTTTAGCAGTGCAGTCGTGAAACCAGCCTCTAAGGCATTACCCTTAGCTTCAGTTGAAGTTGAAAAGCTACAGCCTCAGTTGTTGGCGCCCCTCGTAAACGCCTGAGCGACAATTTTTGCCTTCAGCCAAGCATGAGAATAGCCAGTCTCTGGGATCTAAAGAGGTTTTCCAAAAGAGGTTTTCGCCTGTCACTTGGCCCTTTGTCGCTTGGCCACCTTCCACAGGTGCACTCGAAGATAAACTAAAGAAATTTCCATTACTTTTCATAGAATTATAGTGAATAGTAGTGATTTATTTGATCAAATTTGAACCCTACAAGGTGTGAAAACTTTTAGAAGAAGGTTAAGATAATAGGAATATTTACTAGCTGAATTTTAAACCGAAAAAATTGATCATTTATACATCATTCCTAAGATTTATTAGTTGAACTTTAAATGCGGAACGTCAAGTTCTTAAAATATATATTTAGTGGGAATCTGAATATAGAAATATATATATTAAAACTATTTCAAGTGCATTCAAACAGATCTGTTACCCAGAGAAGGGAAAGCGGCATGAAGGAAGGTTTGGTGCAAATAACAACTGGAAAAGTCAACTGCCGTTCTATTGCTAATTATAAGCATGGTGTAAATTTACAATGCCTAGTGTTTACAGCTCACGAACAAGCGATTATATGGCTATATAGTTATGGCCTCAGCTGTGAATAGCAACCACACACACATAGTCATTGATATATTTACAAAAGATACAGCTTTAAGCAATGAAATAGTAGTTTTTGATTATTAACAAATTAAAGAGAATTTGAATTATGAAAATTTATTAAATGCTTGGAAATGTTTTCAAAGAAGAAGATATTCAAGTGCTTCCCTGCCAAAACATTTTAAAGCTACCTAAAAGCACCTTTTTCTGTGTGTGTATATAGTACCTGGTATATTCCATTGACAAAGGCACATTTAAATACGAAAACAAAAGGCTAAAGATCGGGTGTGGATCTGTTGTCAGGTTTATTCACACTAAAACTGGAAAAACCAAACTCATTTCCATCCACTACTGTTTAGCTACCGTTCTGAGATATATATCTTTGTTGTCTTCATTTGTCATTTTGTGCGAAGAATACGTTCAAATTTCATTTATTGTTTAACGCTTCTGCGAATCGGAAATCAATGTTTGCGCCAGATATATATACATATAGTTATATATATATAGACAAACATATAGCATAGCAAACGAGCGGGGAACCGACCTTGAGACTGAATAAAAAAAAAAGAATTAATAAAAATAAAATGGCCTGTTTAATCCATGGGAAAATCCAGATGAAAGACAAGGCTGGGAAAATGTGGGGGAAAAACTCAAGGCTGAATGAAAGAGCTTTGAGAGCATTAGAATAAATGGGACAACAAAATAAAGCCATTTAATAATTATAAAAAAATAGAGAAGGAAATAAAAGAAATTAAAGCAATTTAAGTTGAATATGCATTTCGATCAACTAAGATTATCTTTAAGTCTATTAATTTAATCTTTAATCTTAAAGATTTGATACTAATTAACACTGCATTACATGATTTTCTATAGATAGATATATACTGATATAAACTGACTGATCCGATAAGATAAGGTTATCGTAAGAGCTATTTGTGTTTATCTTGATGTAAGGTGTTACATTTTTTTCAATTAGTAGTTTCCTTAATGGTAGGAGATCAATTATTAAACTTTACCTTAGGAAAATAACTTGTTAAACATTTTAGATTTATTTTTCTTTATCTTCATTTGTATCTCTATCTATCTACTTTATTTTACCTGCATGGAAAGCATAAACATTATATAGAACTAGTATTCCAAGTTAATAGTTTCCCAGCTTTAAAATTGAATTGAAATCACATTAGTTTCATTTTTAATGTTTATGTCTGTAGTTTTCTCAATTGTTTATCAGAGTAATTAAAAGTTTTAAGCTTTGTATTGGAATTAACAATGTTTTTAGTGTATCTACACAATTTACAATATGTTTTTCTGTTGTTCAGATCATGAGATTAAAATAGGTAAGATGTAATCTTAGATAGTTTTTATTTAAGATCAAGGGAATACCGTCGGCATGAACTATTTAAAAAGAGATCAAGATTACTTTCGAAAACAACAAAAAGAAGATAAATATATATAAATTAATAAATTTCTTTATTTTATAACTTTTCAGAATTCAGTCAGTGAAATATATATAAATATATGTATATTCGACCCTTGTTCAGTATATAAAACTATTTTAATTAAAAATCTGCAGACGAATCAATCTAGCAGTGTCCGTTTGTTCGTTTCTATGAAAATTTACCTCAATTTAGAGCTATTTGAATTGAACTTTCCATGTAGTTTTTCATTTTATTTTCCTTTATTCCTACAAAAGTTGGTACTGCCCAGATTAAAGAACTATATCATAAGTCGGGGTAAAACAATATATAAATTATAAATATAACTTTGATGTTTTTAAACAGACATATAAAATTAGAGGAAATTCCTTGAATATGAAAATGTTTCTATACATTTTTTTTTTAATTATTGTAAGCATAGAATATATATATTTGTTTTTTAAATAGTTTAATCTCTTTAACTCACCTGTGTGTCTGTGTGGGTGTGTTGTCGTTGTTCTTGTTTTTGCTGTTGTTGTTGCAGTTGGTATTTAACTCTCGTTGTTGTTGTTGCTGCTGCTGCTTTAGCCAGATTTTTATATAGTATTTTATTGTTATTATAATTATATATATTTATTTATTTAGTATTATTATTATTATTTCTTTTGGGGCGTGTAGGCACAGCACAACACACATGCACATGTACACATACACGGATATGGAAGCACACACACTGGCATCACTGCATCCCCACGAGATAGCGTGTGTGTGTCAGAGTGTGTGTGAGTTGGTGTGTGTGGGTGAATTCAATTGATTTGTTGTTGTTGTTGTTTTTTTGGGGTTTTCTTAAGATGTTGTTATTGTTATGCCCGGTGTCGTTCATCCGGCCTCTTCCTCTTGCCACCATGCTCCGTATTCATACCGCTGTTCATTTTTGAAACGCGTTTTTAATTGCAAACTAAAATAAAAGGCATACAAATATTGTGAGAAGAAAAACAAAAAAAAAAGCAACCGGACACTGCTTTCTGGTTTTTTCTTCTTTGCCCCCCAATCCTACTCTCTTTGCCTTCGTATTTTCGATCCGTGCGAAGAGTACAGGCAGAGGCCGCAATGCCGCCGCTTTTGAGAACTGTTATAAAATCGCGCGACACCCGAATTGGCGCTGCCTTTGGCCGCCGCTGTCGACGTCGCCGTCTGCCTGCCGATGTCGCCATTTTTGCTGGCCCAACTTTTATGCACTTTGCACTCGCCCTCGCTCGTTCGTTCGTTCGTTCGCTTGCTCTCGCTCTCACTCGCTCGCTCTCGTTTTGAATTGCTAACCCCATCGCACACATGCACATGCAGGCGCTAGTGCGCTCTCGCTTGCACATCGCACGACACAAACAAACGGGGCACATTCGCATTCGCACACAAATACAGGCAGAAAGCAAGGACCCACACCCGCACCCAGGACTCACACCCACACCCCACAGCACACAATCAAAAACCCATTCGGCCCACGCCCCTCTCGGCTACCCCAACCCCAACCCCCACCTCGGACTCGTTCTAATAAAAAGGCGACACAAGCAGTGCGCGCCATCGTTTGCCTTTCGACCAATGACACTCAACGACAATATTAAAGAACGAACGAGCGAGCACACACACACACACACACACACATAGCCAGCACGCACACGAAACACACGCAAAAAAACGAATCACAAAAAACGAAATGTCGACGTCGTCGTTGGCAGCGCTGCCGCAGATGCTGGGGACACACACAGAACGGTGAATGGGTGAGCAGGGTGTGAGCGGGAGAGCGGTAGAGAGCCTCAAGGAGCTATGTAATCCAATTGAAGTGTGTGGGGACAGGGGTCCGAATGGGGGTGTATATGTGTGTGTGTGCGGGAGGGACGAATAAAAAACGAAGCGGGGAAGCCAATCCAAAAGACGCAGCTGCGACGACGACGACGACGACAAGCGACAAAACGACAAACGACAACGATGAAGGCGACACTTCTGCGGCAGTGCGAATGGGATGGCAAGAATCGGTTGGAATGCAGCCAGCAAGCAGTGGAAAGAGGAACCAAGCAGTTGTAGGCGAAAGGAGTTGGGGGGGAAAGTAAATAGCAGGACACTCGTTGCGCGTATGAGTGCGGTGTTTTGTAGGTGTGTGTGTGTGTGTGTGTGTGAGTGTGCGAGGGTGGTGCGTGTACCCTCCCCCACCACTTGGCACTCCCTAGTGTCCAGCGAGAGGGCGGGGCGCAGATCCTTTTAGTGGTGGGTTCTCTCTCACAAGCAAAACGTTTCACAGTTAAAAACAGTAACAATAAAAAAAATATGAACGAAATTAAAAAAAAGAATTCTTTTTGCCGCAATTTTTATGTTTTTATTATTATTATTATTTTTTCTTGCTTTGCGTACTTATTCTTGGATGTTTTGGCGACGGCAAAACGTAGCACGCGTTTCTTGTTTGCTGCTTTATTTTTGTTTCTCGGTTTAAGCGTTGTTTTGTATTTTGTTTTTCTTTTTTTTTTTTTTGTTTTTTGTGCACTTATTGTTTTTGGGCGACCGACCGACCGACCGATTCCCGATGCCGATTCCGATTACCGATTGCCAGCGATGCGGTGCGTTGTGCGGTGTGCGATGCGATGCGATGCGACTTGTTCGAACTTGTGCGGATTTGAAATCACGTCGTCGCTGCTGCTGCCTCTGCCACAGCCGCTGCTGCTGCCGTTTGCCGTCGCGGTTTGTTGCTGCTGCTGCTGCTGCTGCTGCTGCTACTGCTGCTTGGCGCTCGCGAGCAGCGAGAGGGAGCCGCCAAAGAAAGCACACACATACGCGGCTAACTCCGGGTATTATGTACATGGCACTCTCTCGCAACGGCCACTGGTGGACACTCGCAGACACAAACACACACACGTACGCACACACACGCGAGTGTGTGCCCTCCACCGCTCACACTTCTGTTAACGGTTTGGCAGTTGTCCATTCGCTCTGTACGTGTGTTGTATTGCCGGCTCCCTCACTCTTGCATGCTCACGCCCAGCAGCTCCCTGGCAGCGCTGAGAGCGCTGTAAGCGGACAGCAAGCAGTGCAAAGCGTTGACTGTTTGAATTTAAGAGAGCGGTTATGCTCTTTTACTAGCGTTGCGTGCTCTTTACAGCATTCTGTTTAAGCACCCTACCAAGACAGTCCATTTCCTTTCATATTGGAATTGATAAGGAATCGAGTTGAAAATAATATTTAAATAATTGATATTGAACTACTTTCCTTTTGTTAGTTGTTTTTTAAAGAGTTTTTAATTGTAGCAGATTTGTATTGTGCTTATAATTATTATTGTTTATTAAATTACTTTTCATTTAATCACTATTGTTTATGCATAGTAAAATTTAATTTTTAATCAAATTATTTAAAAATATAATACTTTGTTATACATATTACCGATATATGTATTTTACTGCATACATTAAATGAGATAAAGTTTAACCTTGCTTTTAGAGTCTTCAAGCTTCGGTGTTTTGATTTTCAAGAGTTTGTTTAAGTTCGAAGAACCTTTTAAGCCCAAATAAAAGAGAATCTTTATTATGATGCAGTGAAGGAAGCTTGAATTTGGTGGGAATAATCAAAGGAAGGATTAATATATACAAAGTCGGCTTTAAGCCTACTATACTTTTAATACGAGAATTTCTTATTTAAATTGTAAAGTTTGTGAATTTTAAAGGTTGTTTTACTCGTTTTAAGGTCATTCTGAAAACCATATTTTATGATGCTAATTCTTTTTGATATCAATATTTTTGATGTATTATACTCCTATATATTTTGTAAAATATAATTGATAATAATAATTGGTTTATTGATAATAAGTAAGATAATAGTATTTATATTTTATTCATTATTTAATATTTATTTAGTATTTAGTATTTCATGTTTATAATTATAACAAGTTCTTTAACGATATCGTTACCATAAATTTCGATACTCGTAAATCATTATAAGGACCCAATGCCCGGGAATTACTTATATGATTTTTCCCGCCCCAAAAGACCGCCCAAGGGAGGCGGGTATCCCTTCCAGTGCGGTGGTGGCAGGTGGGGTGGGGCAGGAGTGCGGATCAAGTGTTCACTAATGAAATAATTAATTACGAGCACAGGCAGCAGCGGCGTGCGAGTTTTGCCCGGTTTGTGGGAGCCATCCATCGATGGATGCTGCCCACTCCAAAGGGCGTATCTCTGTATCTGTATCTGTATCTGAATCTGAATCGGATTCTGGCCAGTGGTGCATCCATGATGATGCCAAGTACTGTGTCACTCCACCGGAGGGGGTTAAGGGGGGACTGGGGGTCTGTGGGGGACGGTCACCCAGGCAATCGACTTTAATTAAATCGACTTTTCGGGGCAAATTTTGTGGCCCCTCGCGAACCTCGCTCCTTTTTTTTAACGATACAGAGATTTGCCGTGGGGATTGAATTTTCTATTTTATTGAAAATTGTGTATATAAAACGGCCCCAAATCGGGGAATCCAAATAAATCCTAGAAAAGCATTTTCGGGGCCAAACTATGCCTCAGTTAAGAATATATATATATATATTTAAACCCTTTGCTAAATCTCAAGTCTCAAGAAGTATAACTAAGCATAAAAATATTTGCTTCTTATTTTTCATTTGTAATTGATTTAAATACTTTTATTTATCTATATTTCCCTAATGCTTTTGTAAACTCTTTTGTGTTTCTTAAAGTCTTTCTTAATATTTAATATCTTATAGTTTTTCCTTCTTAAAATCACTTTGTTGTAATTCACATTCCCTTAACATTCCTTCGCTTTGTGCAAAATGGCCAACGGAATCCAAATGTCAATTGGATACAAATAGGATGCTCATACTCTCCCATACAATTTTCATGTGAATGCACTTGAAAAATATGGGGGTTTATAAAGCAAAAGGTAATATATCTATACTATCTATATCTATATTTATCGGTTTAAGGAATTTATGTTGTAATTTAAATGAGAATATATTCCTTGAATATAGCTTTAAATGCATTTTCTTTCTCATTTATTGTCTTGTCAATGGAATTTAGATAAAACTAGTACCTATAACTACATCCTTTAAAATTATTATTAATTTATTAGAAAGTTTTGATATGATTTGAGCAATATGTCTATATTTGTTATATGAACAATTAGATACTTTCGATTAATCATATAAATTATCTTTAAAAAATTATAATTAATATTAACATTTTTTTGTTCTACAGAAATTAAGGGAAAAGGGTTATTTTCAAAAACGGAGCAATAAATACCAATATCCATAGTGTAACCGATATAATAAATAACAATTCAATATCTTTGATAACTCATATAATTTCATTTCAAATCAAAGTAAATTGATTTTGAAGAAATTATCCCAGACAGATCATCTTTCAAAAGAATGATTGAAACAATAACTATCGATTATGTAGGCAATATATCAAAGAAAGAACTCGATACTTTTGATAGTTTATATATTTTCTGTTTTTTCTTTTTAAATTATAGTTAAGATA